AGTTTTTAAAATGTAGGTTATATACAATATTAATTCATCATACTGTACGTGTTTACATCTTCTTATGCGTATATGTGTAGAGAAGTATGTGGAGAGAAGAAAGATATACTTTGATTAAATAATAATATAAAAAAAAAAGAATATTCATATATGTAATATAAGACAGAGATACTCGCGTACGAATGATACATACAGTATACTTTTCTAAATAACAAACAATAAGCATATATATATATATGCAAAATTGTCTTAGATAAAATAAATGCAATTACCAATGTAAGCTGTATCTAGATCCATATCGCGTAATAAAATATGTAATAATAGTTGTGTTTGTGATCATCTATCTATTTATATTTACAAATTAATACGCGCCACAAAATATAAGTGTCATAAAATATCACAATATAGATTCGCATACTCTCGGTGAAAAAGAGTTTGAAGCTTACCGAACTTAGGATGTTTTCCAACACATACGCAAGTGACACAGTGTAACACTGGCCTAGTTTTCACCAATCAGAATGTAAGAATAATACCAACCAACTACAGTCGAGTATTTCCTTGTTATTGAACGACAGAGGAATTCTCAACTATTGGTTGATGCTTACATTCTGATCCTGTTTAAACCCTCGATGAAAACTAGGCCAGTGTAACGTGTTTCTGGTTTTAACTGGGAAATAGCCTTGATGAGTTTTGGAATACATTCGATTATCCGATAGGAGAATTGGTTTTATAGGGATAATTAGGAGATGAATTTTTCAATGTTTGATACATTGGCTGCGCGTTTAGCTTTATTCAGCAGAGAAAAACACGGGGTGGTCCCTCTTAGATTTCTTTCTGATTTTGTCATTGACTGATGTCAAAGAAGTCTTGAACGAGAATCAATGTAAATTAATAAAAGTTGAAAATGATTCGAACGTGTTTGTTACGTGTTTGTGGATTTGTGAAAAATTCGCCAAGAAACGTTTCATTTGTGAACAATGGTACGAAATACATATTTTTTTTACATATATCCCATTCAAATTAATTTATCAGTTCAATTTATTTACTATTACTCATTATAACGTTTATATAACATCTTTTCACAGATATACATAATTTATTTACTGTTGATTACATATATTCACATCTGTTAAAGACGCACATCCCTTTAGTACATAATACGAGGAATACGACGTTTTTTGTAAATAGTGAGTAAAGTTTTGGTGAGCGTAATATTTTAGACAAAAAAATGCTTTCAATGTTTTTCTCTTCTCACACTCCTCTCTTACAGAATCTGCGGATGAATTATGGAAGGGTGTGACAACTGTCAGTAATGCAGGAAGACAGAGAGGTAGAGCAAAAGGCTTGGCAAGAAAGAGAGATTTAAACAAGGGTCAGATTATTGGAGTAGGAAAAATTCCAATGCAATTCCCTGGTCTCAATACTCCTATGATTAGAGGTAAACAAATCATGGAACATCAAAAGTTACCTGTTGATCCTGAAAGAGAAGAAAAACTCGCTAAGCAGCAGCTCCGTCCAATGAAATCAAAACAGAAATTGTCACCTTTGGAACGTGGTTGGACAGGTGGTCATATTGGTGGCAGAAAGATTGGACCACCAGATCCTATCGGAGAAGGTTATTGTTATTATTATTCACTATAGCTAACCACATATAATTATTCTTATTATTATATACAATTATGTTAATGTAATAACTGTATATGGTTAATTACAATATATATATATATATATA